GATCCTCCTGTCTCAGTTTCCAGAGTGCTGGGATTATAGGTGTCCATTAGTATGCCTACCTCTATTGTTTATTTAAAGTGTGGCAGGGAGTCCATGATCCAAAAATCCATCTAAACTCATAAAAATGTGTAGCAAAAGAAGAATTTTAAAAAGATTTAAAAAAAAAATTTCATTACTCGTATGTGTATCTGTGTGGGGATACGTGCATATTAGTGCATTTGTCGGCAGACGCCAGAAGAGGGTGCCAGACCTCTTGGAGCTGGAGTTATGGGAGGTTATGAGTCACCCAGTGTGGGTGCTGGGAACTGAATTCAAGTCCTCAGGAAGAGCAGTAAGAAGTCTGAACCACTGAGCTGTCTCTCCAACCCTGAGGAAATTCATTGTATACAAATTAAAACAGAGCGAATTTGTTGTCCTTTTAAAATGCCTGTCTAGGCCTTTATGAAGAAAGATGTTGGGTCACAAGGAGTTAAGGAAAACGTTTGTGGGTCTTCAGGGTGGTGGGAATGGTTTCTTGGGCCTTTGCCAGGGCATGCCCCCTTCCCTGTCTCCAGTCTTCTTTTGTCCCTTCCTTCACCCTCATTTAATAGCTACAGCCTAAAGGCGAGAGACAAGGGGAGTTTTTGTGGAGGCCAGAAATAAGTAATGGCCTGTCCCAGGTTGCCACAGCAACCGTGACATCACCCTGGAACCCATGTGGCTGGCATGGGTGGCTTGTTTAGCATTTGTTAAAGGCACAAGGGAGGATAGGGTGGCCTCTGGTGACAAGCGTAGGACCATCCCTTCAAGGGGTGATGGGCTTGGCCAACCTTGTGTGTCCTTTTACTGGCTGTCCACCTGCTCCCAGCCCTGCTTGCCATGGACCTCTTGGGGGCATTAGACAGAGCTCATTAACAAGTGTGCTGCAGCATGGGCCAGTGCCCTCAGTCTACAGAAACAATAGCCCACACCCTGTGCTTGAACAGCTACTCTCTTATAATTCTTGGAGGTCAGAACTCCAGGATCAAGGTGTGGGTGGGGCTGGTTCTTTCTAGAAGCTCTGGTGCACTCTGTGGCTTGTAGACATGTTCTCATCTTTGCATCTGTGGCATGAGGCAATCTTCTCCCTGTGACTCAGTCTTTATGAGGCATCTTTTTCTGTATTGATCTTTGCATTGACAAAAATTCCATTTATTAATTTTTACATTTTACATATATGAGTATATTGCCTGTATGTATGTAAGTGCACCTGTGTTGTGCAATGCCTGAAGAGGTCAGAAGAGGGTGTCAGATTCCCCAGGAACTGGAGTTGTGGACAGTTGTTAGCTGCCATGTGGGTGCTGGGAATCAAACCCAGGTCCTCTTTAAGAGCAGGCAGTGCTCTTAATTGCTGAGCTATCTCTCCAGCCCCTGATCTTTGCTTTTTGTAAAATTTTATTTGTGGTGTTGGGGCTTGAACCTAGGGTCTTGTGCATGTGTGACAACTCCTCACTGGGAGATTCTAAGCAAGAACTCTAACACTGAACCACACCCGCCAATCTCTCCCTGAAGGATTCTGAAAGATTCTAGGCAGGAGCTCCACTACTGAGGCCACACCCTAGCCCATCACTGGAGGATTCTAGGCAGGTGCTCTACACTGAGCCACACCCCAGTCCATCACTGAAGGATTCTAGGCAGGTGCTCTACAACTGAGTCACATGCTGAGCCCTTTCATGGGGAATTCCAAGCAGGTGCTCTACCACTGACCAACACCCCCATCCCTCTTTGTGCTTTATTTTGAGACAGGAGCTCACTAAGTTTCCCAGGCTGGTCTGGAACTCACTCTGTAGCCCAGCAGCTCTTGAAATTGTAATCTTGTCTCAGCCTCCCAAATAGCTAAGATGACAGCCCCCAGGCCTGGATATTTGCCCAATTTACAGTTGCCCAGTCCATGGGATGAGGATACCCTGGGACTTGCAGCCTGGGATGTTAGTTTTGTCATCTGTCTAGTGGGCTCAACATGACCCTGGCCATGTGATACCATGTGGGATTTCATGACCAGAAGTGTGGAGTCAGGGCTGGATGCTGCTATAGCGGAATGGTCTGAGTAGGCGGGCCAGGAGAGCAGAGGTGGTCCCCTGGGGTTATCCAAGTGTAATCACCATTAAACCAGGCCACAGGTCCCAGACCAAGCCACGGGTCCAGTGCTGGCTGACCTCCCTCTAGGCTTTGTTCCTCTCTTGCTATACTAAGACGCCTGAATCTAGCATACAGAAGGTATTTCATGAATGCATCATGGACTATACAAATAGATAGCCAGCATACAGAAGGCACTCAATAAATGCTACAAAGACTTTAGTAGCATGAGTCCAGTGTACAGAGATTGTCCCTGAGCTATACTTGACAAGGAGACATAAAGAAGGCATTCTACAAATGCTCCATGAAGCAAACAGCTGGCAGAAGGGACTCAGTAAGTGCTCCAGGTACCAGCATACAGAAAACACTCAATGAATGCTTCAGGGATCTAACATCAATCCAGCATACAGAAGGTGCTAGAAGATGTCTTCCTCTACTTCAACAGGAAGCTTAAGTAGGCTGATTGGCTAGTGAGATGTTAGGATCTACCAGTCTCCACACCTCAATACTGGGGTTACAAGTACACACAGCCATACCCAGCTTTTTATGTGGGTGCTTGGGATTCAAACTCAAGTCGTATGCGTACACACTGAGTACTTCTACCCACTGAGCTATCTCCCCAGTCCTGGCAACTGAGATCACCAGGGAATGCTCTTGATGTGTTTGAGTGATGTCTGGCTCCCTCTTGTGGAAGTCAATGGGAGAAACTCTGGGAGAACTGTACTTGTGTGTAGAGAACTCTGCTTGGCAGTAGGTCCTTCCTGCTGGGCTGAGAGCTCGGTGTGTACAGATGTGTCCACTCCCAGCTCTGGGATACCTCTTCCTTGCCCCACTGACACTCAGGTGTCTTCCAGAATGGCTTAAATGCTCTTTCACAGTACTGTCATGGTAGAGCCAGGCTTGGACATTAGCCAGGCTTGGCCCAAGTCCTGTGCCACCTGGTGATGTCACCTCTCTCCTTCAAACTTTGCTATGATGAGAGCCCAACAGACGCAAGAGGCTTTGAAAATTCCAGAAGGGAAAACACGAGGAATGTTTATTAGTTTTAATATTAAAAATTATTTAGCACTGAAAGGCATTTGGGGACACAGACCTGACTCTATAGGTCTTAAAATATATCTTAAAGTACAGAAATTTCGTTAAGGGAGGGCTATAAAAGGGGTGCAGATAAGGGAGGGGATCTAAATATGATCGAAATGTATGAAATTTACAAAAATTCAATGAAAAGTAATAAAAAACAAAAAATTATTTATGTGTGTGGACATATACCATATATGTGTGGGTGCCTGCAGACACCAGAAGAGGTTGTCAGATCACCAGGAACTAAAGCTACAGGCAGTTGTAAGTTGCCTGGTGTGGGTGCTGGGATCCAAACTTGAGTCCTCTGCAAGAACAGCAAGTGTTCTTAACCACTGAGCAATCTCTAGCCCCAGGAATGATTATTTTAAAGAGAAAATTGGAGCTGGGGATGTGGTTTAGTCGACAGAGGGCTCACCTAGCATATGCAAAGCTCTGGGTTCCATCCCCAGTACCACATAAACTGGGCATGGTGGTGCATGCCTGTCATCCCAGCACCACCAGAAGACCTGGGTTCGAATCAGGATCCGCTTGCCTCCAACCTCCTCAGTGCTGAGATGTCAGGCACCTACCACCTCACCCAGCTTATGTGGTGCTGGGGATGAAACCTAGGGCTTCCTGCATGTTAGGCAAACACTCTACCAACTGAGCCACATCCCCAGTCCCAGTAAAGTTTTTTAAAACATCACATTAAGGACAAGACAAGAAATATTTAGTGGTCAAAAATGTTTAATATAGGTTGGAGAGATGGCTTAGTGGTTAAGAGCACTGACTGCTCTTGCAGAGGACCTGGGTTTGATTCCCAAAACACACATGGTAGCTAACAGCCACCTCTAATTCCAGTTCCAGGGAATCCAACACCCTCTGCTGACCTCCACAAGTATTGCATGATGCAGGTGCACTTACATACATGCAGGCAATACACTCATGCACAAAAAATTAAAAAATAGATAAAATACTTAAAAAACATTAAAACAAATGCTTACTCTGCCAGGCATGGTGGCATACACCTTTAGTCCCAGCAGGGGGATCTCTGTGAGATCAAGACCAGATTGGGATGGTCTACATAGCAAGTTCCAGGCCAGCCAGTACTACAGTATAAGACTGTCTTAGGGCTGGAGAGATGGCTCAGCGGTTAAGAACACTGGTTGTTCTAGCAGAAGACCCAGGTTCGAATCCCAGCACCCACATGGCAGCTAACAACTGTCTGTAACTCCAGTCCCAGGGGATCCGACAGCCTCTTCTGACCTCCTCGGGCATTGCACGACACGGGTGCACTTACCTACATGCAGGCAATACATGCATACACATAAAATAAAAATAATAAATAAAATTTAAGAAAACCCACTGTCTTAATTCCACTCCTCCTCCCAAAAACACACACACAAGTTTAATTCTTAGGACTGGGGAGATGGTTCTGTGGGTAAAGAGCTTGCCCCATGACCATGAGGGCCTGAGTTCAAATCCCTAGAACCCATGTAAAAGGCAGGCATGGCAGCACACCTGTAACCTCTGCATTGGCAGGGGAAGGCAGAGAGACAGACTCCCTAAGGCTCACTGGCCAGCCAGCCTTGCCCAAATGGCAAGTTCCAGGTCCTGTCTGAAGAAGACCCTGTCTGAAAAAATAAGGCGGAGAGAGATTGAGACAGATATTTGCTGTTGATTTCTGGCCTCTACACACAATACACACCGGGTGAGCATGCATGTGTACATCACAAAAACATGATTAAGAAAAGTTTAGTACTCAGAGAGATAGAAGAAAGGCAGGAGGGTGGAGGGAGGCTATGTGGGTTAGAATATGGGCTCTGCAACTCTGCTTCTCCTTGCAGGTTCATGAATGACCGAGTTCCGGCCCACAAGAGATACCAGCCCACGGAGTACGAGCATGCAGCCAACTGTGCCACCCATGCTGTGAGTCGGCATGTCAGGGGCTAATGGCTGATGTGGAGGCGAGGGGGAGTATTCTCAACCTATAACCTATTCCTCTGTGTGTGTGTGTGTGTGTGTGTGTGTGTGTGTGTGTGTGTGTGTGTGTGTGATGTGTATGGGTGACCAAGGAGGCCAGAAGAGGGGTTTGGATCCCCTGAAGCTGGAGTTATAGGTGGTTGTGAGCCACCCAACGTGGGTGCTGGGAATTGAACTTGGGTCCTCTGGTGTCAGAGAACAACTTGTAGGAGTCAGTTCTCTCTTTCCTTCATGTGGATTCTGGGGATCAAGTTCAGGCTATCGGGCTTGGTGGCAAACATCTTTTCCTGCTGGGCCATCCTCACTGCCACGCTGACTCCATTAATTTTTTTCAGTTTAGTTATTTTTATTTTATGCTCATGGAGGTCAGAAGAGGGCATCAGATCCCCTGAATCTGGAGTTATGGACATTTGTTAGCCACCATCTGGGTTGCAAGAGCAGCCAGTGTTCTTAACCATCTCTCCAGCTCCCCCGTCCCATTTTTTTTTTTTTGAGATGGGGTCTCATTGTGTAGCCCTGGCTGGCCTGGAATTTACTATGTAGACCAGGATGGCCTCAGACTCAGAGAGCCACTTGCCTCCGCCTCCCGAGTGCTGGGATTAAAGGCGTGCACCACCATGCCCAGCCTTTTTAGTCTTTTGTTTTAATTTAATTTATGATTATTGTGTATGTAGTGTATGTGTACGTGTGTGCATGTGTGTGATGTGTGAGTTAGGTGGGCTTGTACCACAGGACACAAATGAAAGGTCAGAGAACAACTTTCAGGAGACAGCTCTCTCCTTCCCATGTGGGTTTCAAGGGTCAAACTCAAGTCCTCAGTTTTGCAAGGAATATGCTTTTACCCACTGATCCATCTTGTTGGCCCTATACTGATTTTTGTCTCTCACTGGGACCTGAGGCTCATCAAGCAGGCTAGGTGGTGACCTGAGAACCCCAGAGATCAGCCTGTCTCTGTCTTCCTACACTGGGATTACAAGCATACACCACCTAACCCCACTTTTTACATGGGTGCTGGGGATCTGAAAGCAGGTCCTCATGTTGGCACAGCAGGTACTTTACCCACTGAGCCATCTCAACTTATTCCATGTGACCTGTTCCTCTAGTCTCTCAGGGGCCCCAGTACGGCAAATATGGTTCAGAAGGAGGCCTGTAGTACGATGGGTTGTGGACCGTCAGTGGCTCCCTAGTACCCAGCATAGTATTTGGTCACTCCAGCGTATCCCCATGCAGGTTCATGTTGTTGAGTAGTCCCCGAGCACCTGTGCTGGGGTCTGGATTGTATACTTGTAGACCTCTGAGGTCAGGAACATCAGAGACAATGGTGTGACAAGGGGCCCATCAGGCTGTGTGTGCCACTCAGGGTGATGCTGGGGCCTTGGGAGCCTTATGTTCTCTGGAAAATGGTCCTTATACCCCACAGAGGGTCTAACAGAGACATGCCTTGTCCTGGAGTGAAGCCACTGGCTATTGAAATTTCAATTAAAAAATTGGGGGAGGAGGACAGGGTCTTATGTAGCCCAGGCTGTCTTTGAACTCACTATGTAGTGGAGGATGACCTTGAATTTCTGATCCTCCTGCCTCTACCCCCTGAGTGTTGAGACGAGGCAAGTTCTGCTATGTTTAGTGTATGTGATACAGGGGGTGGACTTAGTGCATGCTAGGCAAGCACTCTACCAACTGACCTACATACTATAGCTCCTTAAATTTTTAAAAAATATTTTATTTATTAATTTTATTTTCTGTGTGTGAGTATATTGCCTGCATATATGTAAATGCACCCATGTCATGCAATGCCCATGGAAGTCAGAAGAGGGTGTCAGATCCCCTGGAACTAGAGTTACAGATGGTTGCTAGCCACCATGTGGGTGCTGGGAACTGAACCTGGGTCCTCTGAAAGAGCAGCTGGTGCTCTTAATCACTGAGCCCTCTCTCCAGCCCCAAAATAAAAGATTTTATAAAATAGAAGAGAATAGGTTCCATAAAATAAAATAGATAGATAAAAATATATAAAAATGAGTAAGTAATCATTTTAAAAACACATGTATAAACCAGGTACTATGGTACACATCTATAATCCCAACATTGGGAAAGATCAGGAATTCAAGGCCAGCCTCAGCTACATAGTAAGTTCAGGGCCAGTTTGTGTTACATAAGATCTCGTCTTGAGTGGGGCATGGTGGCGCATGCCTTTAATCCCAGAACTAGGGAGGCAGAGGCAGGAGGATCTCTGTGAGTTCAAGGCCAGCCTGGTCTACATAGTGAGTTCTAGGACAGCTGGAGCTACAGGGAGACCCTGTCTCAAAAAGACCAAAAAAAAAAAAAAAAAAGGCTGGGGAATGTAGCTCAGTTGGTAGACTGCCTAACATCACTGAGTTCTGGGCTATAGATTAAGGATCTGCTAAAAAAAAGGGGTGGGGGGAAGGAGCTGGAGAGATGGCTCAGCACTGGCTGCTCTTGCAGAGGACCCGGTTTTGGGTCCCAGCACCCACCCACATGGCAATTAACAACCATCCAAAACTCCCGTTCTAGGGGAATCCAATGCCCTCTTCTTGACCTCCATGGGCATTGCATGACACAGGTGTATTTACATACATGCAGGAAAAACACTCATACACATAAAATAAAAATAAATAAGTCAAAAATATTTTAAATTAGAAAATATTTAAATCAAACAAGCAAGGTAGACATGGCCTGAGGAATGACACCTGAGGTTGACATTTGGCCTCCACATGCACACAGGTGCAACCCAGTGTTACATATAGAGTCACATATGGAGCCTGGTGTGCCCCACATCACACATCCACCCACACAAAGGCTAGTCCTTGGGGCTGAAGAGATGGCTCAACAGTTAAGAGTGTCTACTGCTCTTCTGGAGGACCTGAGTTCAGTTCCCAGCACCCACATTGGGCAGCTTACAACCACCCACAACTCCAGCTCCAGGGGATCCAATCTCCTCTCCTGGCTTCCATGGGCACTTGCAGTCACACACATATCCTCCCCCCAAACCCCACCACCTACATATACACAGAATTAAAAATAGGGCTAGAGAGATGGCTCAGCAGTTAAGAGCACTGGCTGCTCTTACAGAGGACCAGAGTTTGGTTCCCAGCACATGGCAGCTAACAACCATCCATAACTCCAGTTCCAGGGAATCTGACACCCTCTTCTGGCCTCCTTGAGCATTGCATGCATGTGGTTCGTTTACATACATGCAGGCAAGACACTCAAACATATAATACAAACAATTAGAAAATAAACCTGGCATGGTGGCACATACCTTTAATCCCAGCACTCGGGAGGCAGAGGCAGGTGGATCTCTGTGAGTTCAAGGCCAGCTTGGTCTACATAGTGAGTTCCACACCAGTTGGGGCTATAGGGAGACCCTGTCTCAAAAAAAGTAAATAAAATAAAAATCTATAAGAAAACTATTTTAACAAAAGGATGGCCTTGTCTGGTCCTCTTTTCCTCTAGTTCTGGATCATCCCCAGCATCCTGGGCAGTTCCAACCTCTACTTCCTATCTGATGATGACTGGGAGACCATTTCCGCCTGGATCTATGGCCTTGGCCTCTGTGGCCTCTTTGTGGTGTCCACCATTTTCCACACCGTCTCCTGGAAGAAGAGCCATCTCAGGTACATTCTGCTCAGTCCATGGAATGAGACACCAGCCAGGTGGGGTGACCCCATCCTAAGGGATGGAGTAGAACAGTGAATTTGTAGGGAGATGCTCAGCCAAGCCTGGAGGGGGGCTGTTTTGGCTGCTTTCTATTGCCGTGATAAAACACTCTGATCAAAAGCAACTTGGGGAGGAAAAGGTTTATTTGGCTTACACGTCCTGATCACAGTTCATCCTTAAGAGCAGTCAGGGCAGGAGCCAGGAGGGCAGGAACTGAAGCAGAGACTGTGGAGGAAGGCTGCTTACTGGCTTGCTCCCCTGGCCTGTGTTTAGCCTGCTTTCTTATATGACACAGGACAATCTGCCCAGGAGTGGCACTACCTACAGTGGGCCAAGCCCTCCCACATCACTCAACCATCAAGAAAATGTCCCACAAACTTGATTACAGGCCAGTACAATAGAGGAAATTCCCCAACTGAGGTTCCCTCCTCCCAGGTGTGTCAAACTGACAACTGAAGACAGCTAGTAAAGTGCCAAGCTTGGGGTGAACCCTGACCTGTTTTGGGGAGGGATAATCCCTGCCTTGAGAGCTGAGGTTGAATCCCATTTGAGTAGACCCTCTTTCTTACACTGCAACCCAACACAACAGGCTTGGATCCTGAAGAGCACAAAACCCAAACCAAACATGGCCAAGAAACAAGAAGGAAGATTTAGGGCTGGCAAGATGGCACAGTGGGTAAAGGTGTTGCTGCCAAGACTGACAACCTGAGTTCAATTCCTGGGGCCCAGAGAGAACTGACTTCTGCAAGGTGTCCTCTGCCTTCCACATGTGCACATATAAATAAATGCAACAAAAATTTTAAAAGCAAAATGAAGAAGATCTGTATGGTAGCAGGTGAGGATTTCTGAGTTCTGCCTCCCCAGTGCTGGGGTTACAGGTGCATCCTACGCCTCTAACCCTTTTACTTGGGTCCTGTGGTGTCAAACTCATGCTTGTGTGGTAGGCACTTTACTGACTGAGCTGTCTCCCCAGCCTATCTATGCATGGTGTGTGTGTGTGTGTGTGTGCGTGCACGCGTGTGTGCGCACGCACATGTGTGCATGTGTGGGTGTTGATGTGCACCCTCCTGTGTGCACATGCATGTGGAGGTCAGAGCCTATCAGGTGTCCCCTATTACCATTCTCCATCTTACCTTTTTTATAAAAATTTTATTTTTATTTTATGTAAAAATGTGTTTTGCCTGCATGTATATAAGTGTGCCTGTGTGTGCAGTGCCCATGGAGGCCAGAAGAGGGCGTTGGGTCCCTGGAACTGGAGTTACAAATGATTGTTAGCTGCCTTGTTGGTTCTGGGAACCAAACCCAAGTCCTCTGCAAGAGCAGTCAGTGCTCTCAACTGCTGAGCCCTCTCTCCGGCCCCCAACCTTACCTTTTGAGATAGTTTCTCTCTCCCTACCCCCATCCCAGAGCTCACTGACTGGCTAGATGGCTGGCCAGTGAGCTCTGGGGATCCTCCTGTCTCCACTCCCCCCAGCACTAAAGTTACAGATGTATGTAACCGTGCTCAGCTTTTATGTGGGTACCAGGGATCCAAACTCAGGTCCTCATGTTTGTACAGCAGGCATTTTACCATCCTAGCCATCTCCCTAGCCCTATGCACATTTTAATTAATCAATTTATTTATTGTCTGGTGTGTGTGTGTGTGTGTGTATGTGTGTGTGTGTGTGTGTGTGTGTGTGTGTGTGTGTGGTGGTACCATGGCACACATATGGAGGTCAGAGGACAATGCATAAGAGTCTGGCATTGGACTCAGGTTGTCAGGCTTGGATGCAAATGCCTTTACCGGCTGAGCTATCTTTCCAGCCCCTCTGCACATTTTTGAATTGCAGAAGTCTTTCTCCACTTGGGATCTTTTGCAAATCTCAGCATATGAACCTGAGATAGGCTTGCTCTGGTTGGAGTCAGATGTGTGTGCTGGTTTAGTGTGTAAAGCACTTGTCATGTAAGCCTGACAATCTGAGTTCAGATCCCCAGAACCCATGTAAAAGCTGGACACAGAAGCACATTTATAATTCCAGCCCTCCTACAGCAGGATGGGAGAAGGAGACAGGAGAATCCTTGGAAACTCGTGGGCAAGCCAGCCTGCTGTACACAGTGGCAAACAAGAGACCCTGTCTCAAACAAGGTGGAAGGTGAGAACTGACACTTGAGATTGTCCTTTGAGCCCCACACATGCACTGAGGCATGTGTGTACATGTACCTTCTCCACATGCCTGCATGCACACACATCACATCCACATTCATACACAAAATCAGAGGCTTGTCAGCATTCACCTTAATGATGCCCCTAGGCATCATCATAAACTCCCAGAACACCAGGCATTCTGATAGGGAAACAGCTAGGCTACAGTGCTTCCTTACTGACTGAGAGACTGAGACTGGAGTGGGTAGTGTCTGGAGACAGGGGAGTCTCTATCCCCAGAGAGCACTCTGGGTGCACCTGTCCTTCACTGCTAGCCAGGGACTACGACCGGCCACCTTCTATGTCCTCCCTAGGATGGTGGAACATTGTTTGCACATGATTGACAGGATGGTCATTTATTTCTTCATTGCTGCATCCTATGCACCTTGGTAAGTACCACTGCTCCTCTGGCTAGCTTCTTTTCCCTCTTTGAATTTCTGTTTATATTTGGTGGATAACACACTGACCACATAGAAGGAACTAGGTGAAAAGACTTGCTCATGACTTTATTAAGTGCCACGAAATAGCTACTTATTACCAATGTCTTGAGTATCCTTGTACAGTTGCTTTGGGCATAAAAGACTAAATATGTATGTCTCTATATATGAAAATGTGCACATATATTACATATATTTGCATATTTCTGGATAGATGTATACATGTATATACCTTGCAAATATATGCAGACACACACATGGTTTTATTGTCATTTTCTTTTGTTTTGTTCTGTTCTGTTTTGTTTTGGTCTTTTTGAGACAGGGCCGCCCTGTAGCCATAGCTGGCCTAGACTTGGTATGGAGACCAGGCTGACCTTGAACTCACAGAGATCCACTTGCCTTTGCCTCCCAAGTGCTGGGGTTAAAGGCATATACCAACATGCCTGCTAAGATAAAATAGTCTAGTTTTGTGAGCCTCTGACTCTTTTGTGTGTGTGTGTGTGTGTGTGTGTGTGTGTGAGAGAGAGAGAGAGTTTTATAGTAGGCTCCCCTCCCCCGGCAGGAAACAGTTGTACAGCTGTATTGCCATCCCTAACTTCTACACTTAAGGTAGTTTAGCCTAATGCTGTCGTTGCATTAACTGAGCCAATATCCTTCATCTTTTCTCCTTCCCTTCCTCCCTCCCTCCCTCCCTCCCTCCCTTCCTTCCTTCCTTCCTTCCTTCCTTCCTTCCTTCCTTCCTTCCTTCCTTCCTTCCTCCTTTTTTGCCTCTGACTTCCACATGAGTGCTGTGAAATGTGGACACACACACACACACAAAAAAACCCCACCAAAATAAATGTAAATTTCTTAAAACACAGATACAGGGCTGTAGAGATGGCTCAGTGGTTAGGAGCACTGGCTGCTCCTGCAGAGGACTCGGGTTTGGTTCCCAACACCCACATGGCAGTTAACAACCATCTATAACTCCAGTTCCAGGGGGTCTGACACCTTCTGGTTTCTGTGGTATTGCACATACTCTACACACTTACATACATGCAGGCAAAACTCTTATACATATAAAATAAAAATATAATAAATAAAATATTAAAACGTACTCCCCCCAAATTAACTGTGGTTTCTCTGCTCATATATGAGCACTGACATTACAACCCAAAGACACTTGAAGTAAAAGAAGGAAGTCCACTTTTACCAGAAAGGGTGCCCAGTGCTGCAGAGAAAACCCACGTTTTGAAGCAGGCAACACTTTC